CCTCCCTCCCGGAAGTCTTGTGGGACACGAGACAGGTCCCAGAAGATGATGGGGCCATTCAGGAAGCGCAGCGCTACTCGCACATGCGCAGTGGGCACCCAAGCTGTCACAGCCGGGTGCCCACACTGAAGATGCCGGTGCCTGAAATACAGGACCGCCGGTGAAAAAGGCTGCTGGGGGGAGGGGGGGGGGGCAATGCGGGATTGTGGGACAGGTGAGTGGCTGTTTTTTAAAAGTCAGCATCTACAGTTTTTGTAGCTGCTGACTTTTATTTATTTACAGAGTGAGTGGAACTCCGCTTTAAGTTAGAAGCTGATTGGCTACCATGCACAGCTGCACCAGATTTTACACTCTCCATTTAGTAAATCAACACCATTATATGCAAAAAGGTGTTCCTCTTCATTATTCCAGAACGGTGGGAGGCATGCCTTCTTTTTATACTTTTATCAAATGTTATCATTGGTTATATAGACCCAAAAGCATTATTAAAAAACACATTTTTATTTTAGGAGTGCCACAGCACAGCTGCCATAAATTGGACATCACCATTACATGGCAAACCAGTAATTTCAGTATTATCAGTAATTTCAGTATATGTACATGATAGCCGAACTGATACGCTTTGGTTGTCTGTGCACAATCAATACACCAGTGTACGCGCATATCCTTTATTAAATCTGCCCCATTGGCTAAGGGTATAATTAATGAATGTGAAAATAATATATACGCAGACACACAATAGCATCAGCTGAAGTGCATAGTGATTCTTTTGTACCTATATGTAGAATGCCTTTACATGAAGGAGGATTGCTCTTTGCTTCTATGAAAATCAATACAATTTCTTGTAGAAGAATAAGAAGAGTAAAGGCTCTGTTGGGGGGCATATTGTATTTGTGTATGTCAGCATGTTTCACAGCTGGTTTATTAGATGAAAAATATAATGTCTGTAGATATGAACCAAAATAGAAAGAGGCTCTCTTACATCACCCCTGTGTGGATGTGGAAACAGACCTGGTGCATCCTTCCAGCCGTTAATAAGATGTCAATAAACACATGCAGGGATTTTCACAGGCAATAATTATGATTTTTTTTTGGTGTTAACATTCCAACTGTGTCAGCATATTTCTTCCGGATCGTCTAATGATAAAGCACAATTCTAGTTAATTAATGAGAAAAAGATTATATCTCCTCCAATTCTCTACCTGGAGAGCTACCAAATGGACTCTGAATGCTAGAACATATTTGTCAACAATTTATAATTCTTACAATGAAAATTATTGGATAATTTATGCCATGGCATTGCCTCAGTAAGCAGCCCCAGACAGGCATGCTTCATTAATTAATTCAGAGTGCACTAATAAAAAAAGCATTTGCAGCCATCAAACTGAAAAGTGTTATTCATTTCTGAAGCACACAGTTATATTTTACATCATGTACTCTAGCAGCATGTCAAACAGCGTGCTATAAATTATAACCTTGGAGGTAGAAGTTGTAGAAAAATAACTTTCTGTGAGATCTTAGAGAGGGTGAACCAGAGTTTTCCTTTCCATCCAAATGATGACTTAATGAAAGTAGTTTTTAACCCTCAGCAATAAATTAGAAAAACCCATTTAGAAAGATTAGTAATTTGTGTGATAGGTGTCTGCCAACCATTCCAAATCACCTTGAACTCCTAGAGCCTATTGGTGCTGTGGTTTTGTTTCCACCATAATCCAGCTCCAAACTATAAAATCAATTCAATCATTACATTTGTTCAATGTAAAAGTTGTCTTACCCCTTCATATACCTCCTTGTGCTACTGTCTGACCTTTAATGGGAAAAGGTAATGGCTTTTGGAAATGTGCATTTTATATTTTTATATTTGTTTTTCTAAACTGAAGGTTTAGTAATGCTTTCACTATTTATATAACATTTTTTTTTACAAATAAAAATTTAAAATGTAGGAAAACTATTTTATTTGCTGTTCTCCCCTAGCTAGTAATATGACATCACTTCTAGTTTGTGCTGTCACTTTCCCCAGCCACTGTGGCCAGGGAAGAAGCTAATGGAGCACAATCTCTGCACCATTTGCATCGATGGAGGGCAGTTGTGACATCAGGAGTCTACAAATACCCCTGATGTCTCATTAAAGAGAACCTGTTACAACACCAATAATCACATAGGGGACTTTTGTTCCCCTATGTGATATAAATAAAATTTTAGTGAAAAAAAGTGTCAAATAATTAAAGTTACATCTAAGTACTTAACCCTCCCTCCAAAAAAAATTGTAACCTACCCCCACATACAGACACATACACATGTAAACACACGTATTAAAGGCACCTACATACAAAACCATCGCTTATTCTACATATATTATATATCACTGTACACTTTGAAGTGAGAGCAATATTTCTAAGCCCATTATTCATGGCCAAACTGATGACATGTAGGGGCTCTTTAAATATCGCCTATTGAAAATGTAGGGTACAAAAGCCACCGTTACAAAGGTGCACATTGGCTTGAAATGGTAGGTATCTATTTACTCATCACAACCTTATATTTTATATTTTGCAAAAGTATTATGTAATATATTGGGTTTTTTGGCCTTAAAATTTACTTTAGTGTATATTTACTAAAAATGTATGCTTGATAAATGGTTGCTAAACCACTGCACTAATATTGTGTGACATAAAAAAAAATGGAACTCCCACTGTTTTATTATCTATGGTCTCTGCTTTCAGAAAATATATAATATTTTAATAATATAATGGACTTTTAACTAACCTTCAGGCCTAAAAGTATTTTTTAGTGTGCAAAAAGAAAAAAAATCACAAAATTGACTCAGTGAAAGGGTTAAAGCAAACTCCTGCCTTGCTTATACAAGTTAGAGCAACAGGTTTGCTTTAAACCCTCCTTCCCAGCAGTACATATCTTTTGCTCCCCTACTAATCCATTCATCTGCCAGGCACTATAAAAGACAGCTTCATGGATGAGTAAGGTTGTTATACCACTTTTCACCTTTAGGTAGTGCTGCAAGTAAAATATCACAAATATCACTTGTGGAGATGGTGGGTAAAGTGTGCTATAAGGAGGGGTCTCCAGAAGGGTTTGATCTTGGTTTACCATATTGAAGATGTGTTAAAGCACTTTGTACCCTCGTACCTCCGTACTTTAATTTGTCCCAACTCTCCAATATGTAACTGGTGATATCATAAAGAAATACTTTTATCTTCAGGGAAAATCACAGCCAACAATCAGTACATCCAGAGATACAGGCAGCTGAGTACATGCTCATCTCAACTTTTTCTGTTATTATTAAGATTTGCTGGCCTTACCTCTTCTGCTGCTTTGTTGGTCTTTGACCATCATCATATTTTAGGACTGGCCAGAGCCAGAGAGGATAGAGGATAGAGAAATAAGGCCAAGTCCAATTTTTGAATTTGCATATTACATCATCTGTTTATTATTACAGGTACCTATATAGCGCCATCAATTTATGCAGCGCTTTACATATATATATTGTACATTCACATCAGTGCCTAACCCTCAAGGGTGTACAATCTAAGGTCTGTAACTTGCCTTCATACATACACATACTAGGGCCAATTTAGACAGGAGCCAATTCCCCTACCAGCATGTCTTAGGAGTGTGAAAGGAAACCGGAGTACCCGGAGGAATCTCACGCAGGCACAGGGAGAACATGCAAACTCCAGGGAGGAGGTGCCATGGTTGGGATTCGACCCAAAGACTGCCAGGCAGAAGCGCTAACCATTTAGCCACTGTGCTGCCCACTTATACGTAGGTTTGCTTCTGCTGACTAATATGTCATTAAGTAGTACCTGCTTATACAACTTTTCATTAAATGCTTAATTTCAGCTCCAAAAATTGTAATAGATTTTGCTGGGTTGGCTCTAAATCAAGACTGTAAACCTGTTTGGAATTTGTATAGATGTATAAAAAACTACAGTGACAATGTTTATTCCACTGAAATTATATTAGTCAGTCCACCTATTGGTTATTTTTCAGTTTTGAGTTTCTCAGTTCCTTAGTTCCTCAGTCCATCCACATTCCAAGGTCATCCACTTTTCTCACTGTTGCTGTTCCGAAATCTTCTAATTCCTCAGGAGATATTACCAGCCGGAGAGTCTACTCAACGGAGTGTACCCAAATCTACGCAAAATTATATTGAAAGTTAGTGCACATTCAGAGGCTACAAAAAAGATATGCACTTTCCCTAATAGGGGTTGATTTACCAAAATTGGATAGTGCAAAATCTGGTGCAGCTGTGCATGGTAGCCAATCAGCTTCTAACTCCAGCTTGTTCAATTAACCACTTGCCTACCAGGCACTTATACCCCCTTATTTACCAGGCCAATTTTCAGCTTTCAGCGCTGCCGCACTTTGATTGACAATTGCGCGGTCATGCAACATTGTACCCATATGAAATTTTGATCATTTTTTTCTCACAAATAGAGCTTGGTGGTATTTAATCACCACTGGGCGCTTTACTTTTTGCGCTATAAATAAAAAAGTGCAAAACATTTGAAAAAAAAAAAAAAAGTTTCTTTGTTTCTATTATAAAATTTTTCAACCAGGCATTTTTTCTCCTTCACTGATGTGCGTTGATGAGGCAGCACACTGATGGGCACTGATAGGCGGCACTGATGGGCACTGATAGGCAGCACTAAAGGGCACTGATAGGCAGTACTAATGAGGTGGCACGGATAGGCGGCACTGATAGACAGCACTAATGAGGTGTCACGGATAGGCGGCACTAATATGCAGCACTGATAGGCGGCACTGATAGGTGACACTGATGATGGGTACTGATAGACGGCACTGACTGGCATCACTGCTGGGCACTGACTGGCGGCACTGACTGGCACAACCCCTGGGCACTGACTGGTGGCACTGACTGGCAGCACTGCTGGGCTGCACTGGTGGGTGGCACTGGTGGGCAGCACTGGTGGGTGGGCACAGGTGGGTGGCACAGGTGGGTGGGCACAGGTGGGTGGTACTGCTGGGCACATGTAGGTGGCACTTCTGGGCACAGGTAGGTGGCACTGCAGAGTGGCACAGGTGGGTGCACTGCTGGGCACAGGTGGGTGCACTGCTGGGCACAGGTGGGTGATCTGCTGGGCACAGGTGGGCGGAGCTAGTGGGCGCACTGGTGGGCACAGGTGGGCGGAACTTGCGGGTGGCACTGCTGGGCACCGATCATCAGGGCACTGATCATCAGTGCCCTGATGATCGGTGCCGATCCCCGCTCTGACAACTGCCGGTTCTCGGCAGTACTTTCCTCACGATCTGACAGCGTGAGGAAAGTGCAGCCGAGAACCGGCACTTGCATTTCCCTCTGATCAGCGTGTCATTGGACACCGCTGATCAGGTGGTAAAAGGCCGCTGTGATTGGCCTTTTACCACATCACGTGATCAGCTGTGTCCGTAGGACACAGTGATCACGGAGATCGCCGGGTGCGCGCCCCCTGGGGCACGCAGGAGAGCGCGTTCTGGGGGGACGTCATATGACGTCCACTCAGAACTGGCCGGCCGCAGTGAAGCCGTCATTCGGCTATCTGCGGTCGGCAGGTAGTTAAGCTGGCCATACACGTATAGATTTTTGTATGAGAATTTTCATTTCAAGAATATTCGTTTGATTTTCTAATCATCAGTGGGGTCAAATCGATGTTCTTTTTCGACAGCAGTGATGGGAAAATTCTTAGAGGCAGGAAGGAAAAAATCAAACAAATTTTCAGCCAGTGTATGTGGTTATCGTTCAGAAATTACATTCATTTTAAAGTCGAATGTTAAAAACAAAAGACAATTTTCTAACGACATTCATCCATTCATCGAATGTTCAAAGAATGTTTGTACGACTTTTCTTATGAATATTCTCATCCAAAAATCTACATGTGTATAGCCAGCCTTAGGCTTTTACAAAAAACCTGGCAGCTGATTGGTTTAGATGTGGTGGCTGCATTAGTTTTTTTAGGCTTTTTCTTTATTTTTACATGGTGATCAGGTCAGTAAGTCTGTTATTTTTCAACTTACTTTAACAAAGAGTCCAGCAAAAGTGGCAGTCAGAAGGTTGAGACAAACTGTTTACCATTGACTGGGTTCTTACAATGATCAACTCTTATTCATTTATGTAAAACCATTATCACAAAAAGGAAAAAAAAAGTTGCTGTAACTCCTTAAAATGTGCAAGCTGGAGTTAAGCTTCAGTTTTTTTGGTCAAGTCCATCTAAATCTGCTAGTGCATCTTACACTGCCCTTACCCCAAATTAACAATGCTTCTGTTCAAAGGTGTCTCCATTGCTCCTCAATTCAGAGTGGAGACACCCTACCACAGGAACTGTCTGAATCACCAGGTGAAAATAAAGAAAAAAAGAAAAGAAAAAAATACAGCCACCACACTTAAAGTGACTGTAAATGCAGTTTAAAAAAATAACAAACATATTATACTTACCTGCTCTGTGCTGTGGTTTTGCACAGAGCAGCCCCGATCCTCCTCTTCTCGGGTCTCCCGCTGGCGCTCTTGGCCCTTCCCTCCTGCCGAGTGGTCCCATGGCAAGCAGCTTTCTATGGAGGCATCCGAGCAGGCTTGCTCCCAAGCCGCTGCTCTGTGTGTGCATGTGCTGTGTGTGCATGTGTGCCCCCCCCCCCTGATCTCTCCCCATTGGCTCACTGGCTGTGATTGACAGCCATTGGCTGTGCTGCTGTCTCCACCAATAAGGCGGGAGAGACCTGGGACAGCTGAGGCTCTCGTGCAGAACGCTGGATTGGGATTGGGCTCAGGTAAGTATTGGGGGAGGGGGGGGCTGCTGCACATAGGTAGTTTTTTATCTTCGAGCATAGAATGCATAAAGGTAAAAAACCTTGAGCCTCTTCAACTACTTTAAGGCTTGGTAATGTATTAGATTTCTCTTATATCTATTAATCGCTAGACGTGGGGGTAACTAGAAGAATGTGAGTAGTCAACCTTGAGCCTTTACAACCACTTTAAAGTATGGTAAGCTGCAATGTATTAGATTTCTATTATATCTATTAATCGTTAGGGGTGGGGGGGTCGCTAGAAGAATGTGAGTAGTCAACATTAAAAGTATAACTAAAGGCAAAACATTTATTTTAGTTTTGGATAGAGTGGAGAGGGATTAGCTGTCTGTGCCCTCATTAGGGAGATTCACCCTCTCTATTTGTCCTGTTTATCGTTATCACTGAAAGTGAAAGTAAAAGGAAATCCCAAATTTTGGGTTTTCCCCAGAAAAGTAATAGAGGGAAAACACTAGTTCTGGTGACCTAGGGGGCCCCAAGAGACTGCCTTAATTTGTAGGGATTTTCTAGCACTTCCTGTTTTGGCTATGGGACAAGAAGTGAAGGGAAATCTCCCCAATGGGACAAAGATGGCAAAATTAAACCCTTCAAGGGTTATAACCCTCCCTTACTCTGTCCAAAATGAAAAAAAAAACGTTTTGCCTATAGTTCTACTTTAAAATTCCAGCTCAGGTTCTAAATGAAAAAAATAAATAAAAATAAATAAATACATAGCCAATCAGTTTAAATGATAGAAAATACAGTTCTCTCTACTTACCTTGTCTCCAGCACTGTCCCCGGCAAAAACTAAAATATGTTCTCAGTTGAAAAACTGGAGATTTTCCTTTCTCAATTGAAAAAGTGGAGATTTGCATTAAGGAGTTCCTTGTGCAACCACCTGCTGTCTCTGAAAATGATGAACTCCCTCTTCAGCGTGTGCTTGGCGTAGTGTGGCACAGTTCAATAGAGACCTGAGTGGTCCTTGATCCTTCAGAGGAGTCACCGTATGAGAAATCACCATGTAATCAGTGCTCAGGTTTTCCCCAATCCACAGAAGTATTGTGTTGTTGGCCTTGCTTCCTCTGGGGAGTTCTGGAGTGTGCCTCCTCTACGTTGTCAAAGCAAAGAGGAAGAGTTAATGATCCTCCTGTAAAATGATTGACCTAGAGAAAAAGTGGTCCTGCTGGAAACCCTGAGAATGATGTGATACTGTCAATTAAATTGTGAAGTTAAAAATAGTACAATATTGAGAAAGAATGTTCCTATAGAAAGCTAAAGGGTGTACAGAACACTTCTAGATTGCCATATAGCATTGAATGTTGTTATATATATTTTTTAACCGCTTCCCGTCCGCCCTATTGCAGAAATACTGCTACAGTGCGACAGAGGAGCACAAAATCACGTGTATATATATATGTGATTTTGCATCTCGGGGTAGGGGGGCGCGCGCGAACCCTCTCTGCGCCGCCATTCATGGCCACGGCTGTCAATCACCGGATCCCGGAAGGTAATTACTCGCTGGCACCCGGTGATTTCTGAAGATCTCCGATTGGGAGGAGGACAGTTTTGTTTACTAACAGCCCTCCTCCCTGTGAGCTCGGGCACACTGCTCTGGATGGCTGTGCTGTGCATAGCAGTGTGTTTACAGTGAATCACACTGACACGGCCCCTAGTAAAACACTCCCTGCACACAGTTAACCCTTTGATCACTCCTCATGTTAACCCCTTTCTGCCCAGTGCCATTAGTACAGTGTCAGTGTTTTTTTTTAGCACTGATCACTGTATTGGTGTTACTGGGAATGTCAGTGACACCAAGTCAGTTCCCCCCAGTGTCAGAACGTCCACCGCAGTCTCGCTATAAGTCGCTGATTTCCCCCATTACTAGTAAAAATTAAAAAAAAAAAATTCCAGTATATATACCACCATTTGTAAATGTTATAACTTTCACATAAACCAATTAATTTACACATATTGGGATTTTTGTTTTAGCAAAGACATGTAGCAGAATACATTTTGGTGTAAATTTATGATGAAATTTGATTTTTAAATTTTTTTTACTGGGCATGTTTAATAGCAAAAAGTAAAAAATATTGTTTTTTTTTCTCAAGATTTATAGCACAAAAAATCAAAAACTGCACAGGCAATCAAATACCACTGAAGGAAAGTTCAATTCATGGGAAAAAAAGGATATAAATTTAATTTAGTGGCAGCGTTGCGTGATTGCGCAATTGTCAATTAAAGTAACCCAGCACCGTAACGCAAAAAATGGCCTGGTCTGGAAGAGGGGTAAATCCTCAGGAGGGCAAGTGGTTAATTACTGTGGCTGCAGAATGGAATGGCAGCTGCAGATTGAATATTTTTTTAAAGAAAGTGGCATTTTCCATTATCTACAATTGTATATGGGCTCTAATAACTCCATACACACCATAAAGGTGCACCAATCTGAAGTTAATGTAAGTGCTTCAGGTGTGAAAGGGGGCTACAGAGAAACTGAGAGCACAGAAATGGTCAGAACTACAGGATAAACAACAAGGGCCAGGGAAACAGGGAAGGCGAGAAAGAGAGAGAGATAGGCGGCCTGCTGTATACATGAAAAAAAAACTAAAGCAAGCCATTCCCAGCCAGGGTTCCATAGAACGCTTGGTTTCCTCCAGAGGTTGCTAGGTCTTCCTTGTGGTGTGGCTGACTGACCTCCAATCTGATGGTGCCTGCATAGGAATGGCTCCATTGTCTCTTGACAGATCCAGTGGCACAACACCAATGGTCTTTTTAGCTGTTAGGAAGGGTGGCATTCTGGCAACCAATGTAAGGGGGACCTTCAAAAGTAATTTTAGAAGGGGTTCCCTGAGAACTACAAATTATTTCAAGGGTTCCTCTGGGGTAAAAAGGTTGAGACAGGCTGCACTAGTGGAATGATTATGAGTCTGTGGTCTAGTGAGATCCTGGCCATTATAAACAGTGTGGACACACTGTGGCCCTTAGGCTTTGAGAGACCCATCCAGGAAGGAGCAGGCATCTGGAATAAAATTCCTGTTCAGCCATAGTGTGATTACTAGTTAAAGAAGCTATTCCTCATCTCTGTAACCATCCTCTTGCAGCAGAACTAACATGACCATCAAATGTCCTTCATCAAATACAATTTTTGAAATATTTTCCCTTTTATTCACCAAATCCCATCTTAGCCTTCCACACAATCACATTGCATTCCCTCTTGATTACATGTTCATTCCCATAGAGTCTATGCATAGCTGAAATGGTATTTATGCATTATTAAAAACCAGTCGGAGTGGTTAAACATACACGCATGAACTATGGGAGTATAACTGTTTGTATTTTATTTGATTCCCTTCATTATAATTATAGGAGCTGGAAGATAAATGGCTTCTACAAATTATTTGTGATTCAAGAAAAATAGATGTGTATGCCAAGCACTTTCATTTATTATATGAATGGAATTCATGAAAAGTTATACAGAAAAAGAGCTTCCTCTGCACGGCAATGCTCAACTTTCATCACATTTCTAAAGTAATTTTGCTTGCAAACAGAAATATCGACTGAGCGCACCAATGTCCTGCCAGCGTGATTTATGACAGAGCCATATCCTCACTTCTCAGTGCTCCTGTCCCTGTAGGATCCTCAAATTGCA